GACGGCGTATGATATCTACAGAAACATTAATATGCATCACGTGACACACATGTGCTGTGCGCCCATTGTGTTCCGGATCATCCTCGAGGCGGAATCCGCCGACCGCCGGAGAGTTGGGTCTCCGGTCAACGTGCTGACCGGCGGAGCCCCGCCGCCGGCGCCGCTGCTGGAAAAAATGGAGGCTCTTGGGTTTCATATAACTCACGCTTATGGGTTGACGGAGGCCACCGGACCGGCGCTGGTCTGCGAGTGGCAGCACAAGTGGAACTCGCTGCCGTCCGATCAACAGGCCAAGCTTAAAGCTAGACAAGGTAAATTTTAAAAAAATAGATTTATATATTAGAATTTCCACGTGGATATTCTTGAGTCACATATTTATTGAATATAGTTAAATATGAAATGGAAAATAGAGATTTTGTTTTTATAAAAATAATGAGTTTTGATTTTTTTTTTAACTTTTTTATTAATGGCGACAAGATTCGTCATCAGAGAAGTACTTTCTATATGAAAATAAAATATTGGAGAGAGTTTGGTTAGTACTTTCTATATGAAAATAAAATATTGGAAAGAGTTTGATAGATGTGACAAAGTATTTTTTGTGGTACGAAGTTAGAATTTTGTCATTTTAAAGATTTGATAAAACAATTATCAAAATTATAACTTTATTTGTTAACTATTAAAATAAAATATAACTAACTATCATTTTCATAGAAATATTTGAATAAAGGTAAAACTGGATTCAAAAGAATATTAAATTTCAAGTTTAGCCTTTTTTAACTTTCGAATTAGTATGTTGGTTTATAAGGAGTCTAATAAATTTTTAATTATTAGTGATTTTAACTGAGCTAGAATATCTCTAAATTTTTTATTTTTTATTTATTTGGATCCCTAATGTAAATTTTTTAAAAAAATTCATGGATTTAATAGATAACTGGATTGAGATATTTTAAACATCAAAATCAAAATTAGCATTAGTTATTCTGACAACTAACAAATGCGTTGCAATTATTACGATCAGGTATCGGCATTCTGACATTAGCGGACGTGGACGTCAAGAATTTGGAGACGATGGAGAGCGTGCCGCACGACGGCCGCACCGCCGGCGAGATC